AGATCATTATTAAGATTTAATAATGCATTCGATCTAGTAAAGAATTCTGCCCACGCATGCATGTAGCATCCACTTAGGCCTACAAGAACACGGTGTGATCGAGAAGATGACAGCCATTCCTGTGTGCTTACACACTGTGAACTGCGGCCTTGGGGTTTGCTGGTGCGTTGATGGGGATTCTGTGTTCAACAAGAACCAGTCTACGTTTTGCATACGTGGGCCTCTGCACTTCAATATTTGGGGCCAAGTAGCGGCGCAGATGTCTCACCTTGCCAAATCATTTCCGTGGCAGTAGCTGCGCTGAAGTGTGCATCTCCACATGATTGAGGAGCAGCAAAGTTCGAAAACCAGCATTGCCATTTATGCATGTAGTTCCACTGCAGCAGCAAGTTCCAAGCATCAACGCGCAAGACCATATTACAAGCACAGATCCTAGAAAAAGCTTGCCAGGTCATTTGATTGACTTCGTCTTTATGGAGTTCGTGGGCAATATTTCGCAGATTCATGGTGAGCCCCCCTGCGTTGCTAGCTACATGCATGTGAATAGCCACGAGCGTGTTATCACGCAGGTACTTGATGATGATCCCTGATCAATGCGATCTTGGTGGAGGCCGGGTGCTGCCATCTACATACAGCCAGACCTTCTGCTACACTTCATGTTTGCTGACTGCAGAGTGCAACCCTGCATAAAATGATTGCGGTAGCAGACCTGAAGCAGAGCCCGCCACAAAATGAATTTCCCTGTAATGCCCCAGTGCAAGCCCCCATCTTCTGATCATGCAGGTGCCTTGGCGTCGCGCTCTTCATCCAGATCCTGGAGTCGCTGTGATCATGGCATTCCGCCGTGCTGCAAAACTAGATGGTGTGCCCTCCCTTTGCATATGTTGAACGGCTTGGACAGGATAAGGCTAAGTGCATGTGTTGCCCGTAGAAGATCAGCTAAATACTAATTTTGCCCCCCATACAAAATCCTTTGGCACCCACTTTGTTGATGTAGTCTGAGCAAGTCTTCCAAAACTTCAGAAAGGGTATGTAATGTGCTGCAGCTTCTTTAACTGCAACCTTGCAGATCCGCCGCACAAGATTCCAAAAACACTTACATGCATAATATGTCGTGGTCACCTGGCACTTAGGGGCATATGTTAACGGCTGGACATGAACTCTTGCAATTTGGAGGGTGATGCTTCCAAAGGTTAACCACGTACATGGGACTCGTCAACTCTAGAAGCTCCTAGCAACTGAAGCTATGCCTGAAGAGAGCCTTCCCCGGTCATCACTGGTGGTGCGTCTGATACAAGTTGGAGCGCCAAAGGTACTTCGACGTAAATGGGCAAGAATTCTCATTGATATAACCTATATACGTGGTTCTAATGGAACGAATCACTTAGCCTGCCCTTTGCCAAGGTACTCATAGCCATCATCCTGCTGCTGTCGTGGAGCAGCCAGATGCCTTCAAGCACATTCGACTTTTTGGATCTGTTTGCAGGGGTCGGAAATGCCTCTGTTTTCTGGTTCCTTGGCTTAATCCTGCTGGGTTTCTTTTGACTTCTAGTGTGCACAAGCTTATATAGAACGCTTTAGAACAAATCTGCTTCAGGAAAGAAAGGGGCCTTCGAGTTGCAACTATAGATTTGGCGAACTCTCCGCACATGAATATACTTTCGGATGCGGGACTATTGCCCTCACCTCAGCTGCCATTATACATGTCAATCTGCACAGGTAGCTGTAGACTCGACCGGTTCTTGCACATTGTAGATGCAAGGCTTG